ATACATAACTGACCCAACAGCATTGGCATATGGAACTGTTTCGCGCGGTTACTCGCTAACAATTAAAAAGGGATCAGACGATTGTGTAAGGGATAAACCTCTTGGTCTTCCGCTCTGGGCGATTATAGGATACTTCATTCGCTCAATATCTGGGCGTTCTGCAGGCTTGGGCTACGACTTACCTTTGTTTTTGGGTTTTCATCATATTTAATGACATTCTTGGTTGGGTCTTTACCCTAATCTCTCTTAATGAGCTTCTTCTCTTGAGCCATTTCCTTTTTTGGGGCATTTGAATTGGGTTGCACATTTTGTGTGTCAACAATAATAATAAATTTCGTAAATATGAATAAAGTGGATAATTTATTATCAAAATTTCATAATGTATTACACCTTGTACCTATCGTTTCTAATAAAAAAATTTGCTAAAAAAGCTTCGAGCAAAAAAAAAAAAGAAGAAGAAGAAGAAATTACAAACTGGCCTTGTTTGGTGCCCATTATTAAAAAAGAAAAAAGAGTTTTGAACAGTATATTCAGGAATTTGTGTGGTTAAAAGGTATGAAAAAATTTTAAATTTACATGTAAAATATTTTATTGTTTGAATGTGTGATTGAAAATGATCGTGTAAAAAAAAATTTAAAACAATGAGCACCAAATATGGGCTAAATATTTGTCCCTTAATTTATAGTGCGCTAACAGAATTTTTGGATGAAAATATTAGTGACAATAATATGTAGTTGAAATGTTAAGAATAATAGTAGAACGATGAAAAAATTTGGAATATATAATGTGTGACAACTTCATCAAATTTACAGTGACTTGTGAATAAGGAGGAATCAAAGTCCTCTCTCATAACAATCACAAAATTTAACACGCTTGCCTATGTATTGCGCATTATGTTTTGTTTTTACCTAAAAGTAGTGTTTAGCGTCATTTTCTATGTATTGCAAGTAACCTTTTTTTTTTTTTAAATGTAAAAATCGTAATTATGTAACGTTGATTTGTGTTAAACTGTATGCAGGTGATGTTCATGTTAAAATTGCAAGTTGGCGTTGTTGTCTAACTAACACGATAAAAGTTGTTAAATTTTGTGACAAAATCTTTAAAATGAATCGAAATTAAAATTTAACTATTTTAGTATTTAAAACGAAAATTTTTAGTGACTAAAATGAAATCTTTCCCAAAGTTGGGTGACCTCTGGCGTTTTTCACCCTTTATTTTCTGTTCCACCGCTGGCAATGGTGAATGTCAAGCCATGACCACCGTCACCGCCGCGGCCTCAAACCACCGTCTCGCACAGCCTCTCTCGCTAATCACCAGTATAACCTCCCTCCTCCAGTCCTTGAACCCCCAACACCCCAGCACCCACCAAAACCCAGACCCTTCACTTCTCAACCACTTCTCTCCATACTTAACCCCAACCTTAGTCATTCAAACCATCAAAAGCCAAACAAGCCCTTACCATTCCCTTTTCTTCTTCAACTGGGCCTCTTGCCTGAGCTCGAACTCAAACAACTACACCCACAATCATTTTTCCTACATTGCCATAACTGATAAACTCATTTCACACAAATTATTTTCCTTAGCAACGGATTTACTGAAATCCCATGACAGATTTTCGGATTTCATGGTGGGAAAGTTTATTAAAGCTCATGGTGATTTAGGCCATTTGAAGTGGGCTGTTAAGCTTTTACATCAAGTGAAGGAGAGGGAATTTGGTTATTGTTTATTTTCCTATAATGCCCTTTTGGGTGTTCTTGTTAAGGCCAATAGGTTTGATTTAGCTTGGGGGTATTTTGGACAGATTGTTAAAGAGGGTGTTGTGAAACCTGATGTTTCCACTTACACAATAATGATCAAGGGGTTGTGTAAAGTGGGCAGGCTGGATGATGCCTGGAAACTGTTTGATGAAATGCCTCTGGAAAGGAATTTGGTTACTTGTAATACTATTATCGATGGGTTTTGCAAGAAAAATTTTGTGGAAAATGCGAGAAAAATTGTCGACAAGATGGTTCGGAATGAGACTTGTTTGCCTGATGTGGTTACTTATACTACTTTGATTGATGGGTATTGCAAGAAAGGGGAGGTGGAAAATGCTATGAAGTGTTTTGACGAAATGGTGAAACGGGGGAGTTGTGCACCTAATTTATTGACATACAATGTCTTGATCAATGGGTTGTGCTTGAAAGGAAATCTTGATGAGGCGAGGAGAATGATGACTAGGATGAGGTTGAGCGGAGTGAGGGATAATGTTGCGACTTGTACAAGTTTGTTGAGGGGCTATTGCATTGCTGGGAGATCTAACGAGGCTATTCAGTTTTTTAAAGAAATGGTTAGTCTTGGTATGAGTCTTGATGGAAAGTCATATTCTATTGTTGTGAATGAGTACTGCAAGTTGGGAAGGCCAGATGAAGGGTTTGCGCTGCTAAGGGAAATGAGGGCTAGAGGCATTAATTTGAATGTTGCGGGTTTTAATGCTGTCTTGAGGAGTCTTGTCCAGCTACAAGAACTTGATAAGGCAATTCTCCTTTTGAAGCATATGCCCCGAATGGGTTGCATTCCGAACTTTTTATCGTATAATGTGGTGATAATCGGCCTTGTGAGTGCTAAACGAAGGATGCAAGAAGTCGAGATGCTTGTTAATGATATGCTTCAGGATGGCCATGGCCTTGATGCTACATTGTACAGTTTCTTGGTTAAAGCATGTTGTGAAAATGGAGATATAAATAAGGCAATATGGCTGTTTAAGAAGATGATTGATGCAAAATATGTGATCAATCTGGAGTGCTTTGCAGTTCTTTGTGGGGAATTGCTTGCAACGGGGAGAGCATCCGAGGTGAAAAATCTTTTCAAGCAGTTGAGAAACGTTCTCCCTGTGAGTAATGTGGAATATCATCGAAGGATTTTAAACGATTTATTGTGTACAAATGGGGATAATCGATGTATTTCAAGTGATGGATCCTAAAAGTTCAGTCGATAAAAGTGTGGAGGTTGATCTCTAAATCTTCTGCGCTGTGCTGTGGAAGAGCATAATTTGGGGACAGCGAGCTGATTAAGCAGGGTGTACGGTAGAGAATTGGGGATGGTAATACAAGGAATGTATTTGATGACCCATGGCTGCATAAGGCCAAAGTCATTTTGGCCGTAGCGAACTTGATTAAGAATTGAGGAGATTTTTGTTCCACAGGGGGCAGCTGCTATACTATCTATCCCACTTAGTGGTCGGCAAAGGGATAACAGCATAATTTGGCATTATGAACTCCAAGGTGTTTGTACAGTCGGAACTGGATATAGGTTCTTGATTGATGTGGGGACGGACTCAATGGGTACTAGTGCTTGGAGTGATGCTCCATGGGGGAAAACTTTGTGGAAAGTGCTAGCATTCATTAAGGTTTGTGTGTTTATGTAGCATATTTTAAATGGGGCTTTGCCAACTGGAGTGAACTTAAAATCAGATCGTGAAGGCTCCTTTTTTCTTTGCTCTACTCACCCCCCCCCCCCCACCCCCCTTTTCATAAGTGTCATATTCATCTAGGAGTAGACATCAGCTAGATAAGAGTGGTCTAGCACCTCCTTTTCCCCAGTCACCATTGGGGTAAATTCTTCGGGATGCCTGTTTTTCTGTACCTGCATCTGTCTGCAGACCTCGCCAAAAAATCTCTCTCCCAAGCTATCAGTATCCCTATGCGAGTCTTCTGCTGAAGAATTTATCCTAAGTAGTCTCCCATTATCCCATACACGATGAAAAAGGCCCTCGACTGGTGTGGCTGCCTTCGTCTTTCGACTTTAGGATTAACTCAGTCGTCTTTAATAAACAGGTATTTAGCGAGTGACTGCCAGCAATGCATGTGCAACGGGTGGAGTCCTCTCTTCATGCCTTGTTTTGGTGTCCAATTGCACGTGAGGTGTTATTAAACTTTTCAACCCTGCTACATGTACATGTAGTTTGACACTTTGGTTGACATTCTATGATTTGGCAGGCAATCTAGCCGTTGATTTGAATAACACTCATATATCAATGGCTAGATTCTTAACACATCATAGCCAAGGTGTTCAAAATGAATGTACAAGGAGCTTAATTCTAAACTTTTGAGCTCCGTGGACGACGTCAAGGACTTATTGCCTGGAATTTGTAGTGAGTGCACCTCACTTGAACTTGCAACTATCGGCTGCATAACATGGATCTTATGGGGTGAATGGTTCGTTGAGGAAGCCGGAACAGGCCTGTCTTTTGGATGGTGATGGGAGGCAGGATACAATTCAAAATCAAAGCAGGGTCGTGGGTTCTGCCATAAGTTGGGAGATTGAAGCTGAATACAGATGCAGCCGTACAAAGTGGGGTTAAAGTTTTCCAAATGGGGGTTGTTATTCGGGATCATGCTGGAGTTGTACTGGTCATAAGAAGACTGCTGGGAATTCTTTCAGTTGAGAATGCTGAAGCTACTGCAATACGGGATAGGCTTAACTTTGCGAAGGAAAACCATCTCAATGTGGAGATTGTGGAGAGTGATTCTCTGCATGTTGCTTAAACTTTAAAGCCTCAAATCTGATTTCCGCCTTGCTCCAAATGAAGTTATCCTTTCTGATATTATAAGCGTTAACTGTCTAGGAAAAGAGAAAATATTGACCGACCTTTATACAAGTCTTACCTTTTTAACTTATGTAAACTTCTTGCTTAAAAGCCTTTGAATTACTCATTAAAGTTGATTGTTCCTATAAGTTTTATATGATCATCTGGTTAAATGATCATACATGATCATACCTTTTTTCTTGGATTTATTGAGATTTTGGTCATTCAAGGATGGGTAGATTGAGAAGCATGTCGATGATGTCATAAGTCGAACATAGCTGTTGAGGCAAGAGAAATTCACTGATGCAAAAGTGATTTTGCAAAATGATTTGAAGCTGTAAATACATTCCACTGGCACAAAGCAATCTGAGATGAGATGAATTTTTGTTTACTCCGGATAGTAAGTAAGAGCATAAGCCAAAACATTGGGTTACAATGATAATTATTAAACAGCAAGCACTTATCAGCATAAAACAATCCTTGTATTGGACTGGTTCCTCATTTTGTGTGTCGATTCCATCCAAGTAGTCTCTTAATGGCCTGTTGGATAAGATGGATTGAATTGTCGTGGACACTGTTATCGAAGAAAAAGACGTTAAAATTTTGTTTATTGTATTGTTTAATCTTGTCCAATATTACTATCAATTATGTCTTATAGAACATTTTGTACGCCATATTGAATTAGGAGAGATAATATTATGGAGATTGAATTAAGGTGAATTCGAGTGTATTCTTACACCATATTAGAAGACCTTACAAGTAAACAGCAATAAATAAATAATTTATGACAATATTTTTTGAAAAATTTGTACTTTCCATCTCCTACCTTGGTGAAATGTAACAAATCTATCTCCCCAACCTTTAAATTATGTAGCATACTTCATCGTGCCCTCAATTTTGACCATTAAATGTCGAAATTGTAGTTCTCTTAAAATAAACAAAAATAAAAAAGAAGTAAAACAATATAAAAAATTGCAAATGTAAATCCTATAATTTTTCAAAAAGTACAAACGAATTAAACTTAAAATCATAACAAATAAAAAAAAAAATTATCTTCCTCAATTAAGTTCTCCCATCCCATCCAACTCCCACCCGCAGTCAAACATCAAATTCACAAAGGCAATCACGTCAACAGCTCGGCCCATTATCATATCTAAATGAGTCTGAGCCGTACACGAATCAAGTTGGGATGAGCCGAGTTCGCAAGCGATTCAACCGAATTGCCACCTCCGATGCTACCTAATCCAAGCACCAATCTAGATGTTGATGAAATGACATCAAATTATTGAACATCGTTAAATTATGCATCATATCAGTCATCTAGACCGTTGGTTTAGATTTGAACCTCTTAGATGTAAAGATAAGAACATGTTTAAGATGTTCAATCACATAATTGACAAATAAGAACCTTGATTGTCAATCTAGATGAATACCATTGCTCATATTATCTTGTACATCAATCGAGCTACGTAACATTACCCTTTCATGATAGCAACACTATCAATTGATGTCTTGTACTCTTTTTCAAGAGAATGGGGGAAAAAAAAGCAGCAACGTACTAATAATGTTTGTAGATATATGTTTCTGCAATATGCATGCAGAAATTATTGGACGAGAATGATTGAATGATAGTTGTAAAGAGGGAAGCCTACTAATCTACCAACTTGAGATTGTGTGCAATGGTTGCAACTTTGTTTTACTAATACTATTGCCCTTTTTATCAAATCACCCGTTTAAAAGCTCAAATACTTGGCATTTTACTTTTTTATCAAGTCTGCAGGCCAAATTCATTAAAGACTTCTTCACTGGGGGAGCGATAGGAGACATGGAACTTGATAAAAGAAAGAATTACCAGGCATTCTACATTTTTACACATTAAGACGGGAATACAATTAAGCAAGGCCAACAGGGGCTGAAATTACAGAAAATTTTGGCTTTATATGCACACGAAACTCGTCAAGCTAAACTCTCTTGATTTTTAGCCGATAGCCGTTTGAGAAACTCGTACGTGGTGATCATGGTCGTTGAAGACATCGACATTGAAACCCACCTAGGACCTAAACCTCTGTAACAAGCACTTACTCCACCTTCCTTAACCAAGTTCCTCAACGTCTGTAAAACTGTTGGAGCTAGACCACGCCCACTCCCTTCTCCATCCAAAACCTGCAACCTCGTTTTGATAGTGTCGAGAGGCGTCGTAACCAAAGCCGACACCCCACTAGCGAATGCAGAACTCAACCCCTGAATTGCCATAGTTGCTTTCCCATCCGACCTATAACCACTCTCGTCCTTGCAGCCATAACAACCTATGCATCCCCAAATCAACCTATGCGCAATAGAGTAAGAAGCCCACCACACAGCACTGGAAGGCGCATAAGTCAATATTGAAAACCCAAATCCCCTGTACAATCCCCTCACTCCATCAGCATATATAATCTTTCTAAATGCATCAATCCCACCATTGTACGTTTTCAAGCCAACTGAACAACCACGGGCACCACCTTGGACCATCAGTCTCTGGCTCACAACATCTATAGGTGTCCAAACCAATTGCGCGGCCATTGCTGCACTTAGGCCTGCAGCAGCATTGGCAACAGCAGAGGCCGAGGCCTCGGATAATCCCAACTGACCAATAGCAACCTTGCCTACATTACTCTTTGTAACTTCAAGTGCCCCCATGTAAAGGGAGCGCGCAGGAATCGTTCCCATAAGGGAAGTCCCGAATCCCCTATAAAATCCTCTGAATCCCTCGAATTTCAAAATGGAACTTGCCATTTTCAGAGACGAAATCTGATTCAACTTCACTTGCTGACGCGTTTTCAACACCACAGTAGGATAAAGTGTGCCAGAAACGCCTGAAAATAGCAATGCCCCAAGTAAGAAAAACTTGGATTTATCCAACATCTTCCAATCTATATCAGCCGGGAGAGAAATTTCCGAAGCTGAAACTTCCTCAGGCGCACCTAAACTCATTTTCGCCACTTCCAATTTCTCCAAAAACAGAAACCCTCAAATAAAAAAATAAAATCTAATCCAATCCCCTAACTGACTATCTTCAGCATCTGTTATCAGAAAAAGCCTAAAATGCATTCATAAACTTAGATATATACAAAAAAATATCTAATTTTCCAAAAGAAATAAAAAGGGGAAACTCCAAAAAAAAAAAAAAAAACTTAACCAGAACCTTGTCCTAATTTTCCAAGTCTTCAAAGTGGTTGAGCTTAAAATTCTAGAAAAATCCCAAAATTGATCATATGGGTATATTTATAAAATCTATTAGAGTGAGAGGAAGTGGGATCAATATTTTTTGCGTTAAAATCAGATAAGTGTGTTTTTGCAGATTCATATATATATAGTGAAACAAGAAAGTAACAGGAGAATTTTTGAAATAGCTGAAAGTTGAGAGGGGGTGTGTGGCGTACGCAATTCTGTGGGTCAAAACTCAAAAGGGGTTAATGGATTAGGAATTTGAGGTTTTGCGGAGCAGAAGGATATAGACACATGTGCATTGTAACGAGGGTTTTGGTTTGTGTACCCCCTGACATACAATCCTCGATGCACGCAGCCCCTTATTCTGAGGTGAGGGGACTGTACATCAAAACGTCACAATAGCAAAAATCATTATTTTGGAAATTTTCTTGGGATTCATTGTGAATTAGTGTTTAGAAATTGGAAGGTTTACAGAGGGCCGACTGGTTCAGTTTTGGGCAGTGGATAATGGGGGTGTTGTGCCCTTTGATTGATTGATAAAAACTGTGGGTGGGTGTCAACTGATAAGACAATCCAACCAATGGGCACATGCAGGCATAGGTAGCCAATTGATTCTTACTAAGAGCTTGTTTGGTACAATTCAAAATTAAATTAAAATTGAAAATATAACTGTTATTAGATCACGCTCGTCTAATAAAAGTCAACAATAACGGCTAGTTTTCCAATTTTAATCTGATTTTAATCTCTATCGAACATGCCCTAAGAGTGTGTTTGATACACGTTAAAATGGAAAGAATGTATTTTTTTGTAATTTGATGGTGAATATTGTGATTAATAAGAAGGAAAAATTACTGATGTGATGAAAAATATTATTTTATTGAAGAACGTGTAATTAAAAATGAGTAGAAGAATAAGAATGAAAATGAGAATGTGGTTCAAACATGAGCTAAAGAGACCTATCGTTAGATCAGCCTAGATCCAAATCGAGATTTCCTTTAAACCAAACGTGACATGTTTGGTTAATGAATTTTCATAGTTGCATTGATTTCATTTTATAAATTTGTCCCTGGATTATGAATTCGTGTTGAAATCCAGAGATAATATACCAATTAGCACTTGGAAATAAAATTCAAGAATTTTGATTGGAGATCTAAGACATTTTTATAATTTGAGCGGTTGCCCTGAGTAAATATACGTAAGCCATGTTTGGTGAAAATTAAAATCAAGATTTTAATTTATGTCAAAGTCAATAATTAATTTTAATCACACATTTTATGATATTCATAACTTTTCGACCACATATTTCATCAGCTTCAATCAAAATTTACTAAAAATCTAATTTTAATCTCCACCAAACGGTAGCTTAAATTTGTTATGATTTCACATATTTGTGTAGGTTTGATTTGAGTCGAGAGAGATTGTCAAATACTTTGAATAAATTTTATTGGCAACACTAGTAAAATGATCTTCGTAACTTGAAAGACCAAATCGAACCGAATAACCATATATGATGAAATTATGAGTTCTAGAACTTTCAAATAATCAATTTTTTCTCAAATATTAGATTGTTGATCGCTTCACTTATTTTTAATTAGTTTTTATATGAAAGGAGATTGGTAAAGGAAAAAAATCACAAAATCAATGAGTATTTTAGTTGTTTCAAGTAAAAGTCCGGATGAATTAGGTTTATAATTGATAACAAAACCTTTATAGGATTTATACTCTATTCATCATTATGTTATTTGTCGTGATATCGTGCACGTAAGATTTTCACGATGCACGATATCACGACAAATTAATAAACGACGAAAGAACACTTGTTTTTACCGGATTATAAAGTTGGTAAAATGATTTTTTTTTTTTTTT